TGGTTCTTGTCAAGCTGGCAGAAACACAATGCATGGGTGTCGCTGTCGGCACCTTTCTGACCTGCATCCCTCAACTGATCAAAGGAGCATGTCAGAAAATTGTCTGCTTGAGGATGTGAATTGCCGCATGGTCAGGAGTCGCCCAGGTGTGCACCGATAGCGCTGTGGGTGCCATTACTTTCCAATGGCACCCCGGGGTGCCACAGGTACAAGTACCTTTTTCTTCAATACATGACGTGCGGCTGTTTTTATCGTGTTCGGAATCGCGGTTGGAAACCGCGCGACCCGCCCGCCATTGAAAAATAACAGCACCCACAGCGCGATCGGGGCACACCAGGGCGACTCCTGACCGTGCGGCAATCTGCGCAGAATCGTTCACAATTGCCGTGCGGTGGTGTGTCTCCTAGGTGTGCACCGGCCCTTAAGCTGTGAAATTCTGAATCCCCGGCAGCCCTTCAGAGGTGAGATGAAGAATTAGATGTAACCAAGCTGGACCAATGCAAGTTCAGCTTTAAGTATCGCAAGGTTAAGTTCCACCAACAGGTTTCTGTGGACAGGGAACCATGTGACCATAAACTGCCCTTTCTCTTCCTTAGTGTGGCCAGGTGGGCCTTGTAACTGTCACTGAGCTTGTGTATTAGTCAGTTACTGTGGCCGGGCACTGTGAGGCTTTATGGTTACCTGGGCTGTACCCCCCACCTACCCCTTCCCTTCATGTCCCCACCATACAGGGTGCAAGAATTGCCCAACTACTTACCTAAGCAACCACTGCTCTGTGCTCATTCCTGAGCCAGTCGTGTGACCAAACTCCGAGACATTAGTCACGTTAGCAGTCTGAAGTTCAGTTCCTTCAGGTTTGTAGGTGCTGTTTTTTTTTTTTTTTTAAATTTGCCTTGTACAATCTGCCTTCTTGTATCTCTCGTGTGACACCAGTGTATGCCCGATTTTTGAGGGGAAGCAAAGAGTGTCACATTCAGCAAACATTTTGTCCATAACTTTCAAAAAGCAAATAATTGCGGGGTACAACTGTGAGCAGCTGACACCTTCACTATGACTGCGTGGGAGGGGCAGAGACACAAACTACTGCAGGGGAATCTCATTGTGGGAGGGGCAGAGACACAAACTACTGCAGTGGAATCTCATCATTGTGGGAGGGGCAGAGACACAAACTACTGCAGGGGAATCTCATCATTGTGGGAGGGGCAGAGACACAAACTACTGGGGGGAAATCTCATTCTCGTGTGACACCAGTGTATGCCCGATTTTTGAGGGGAAGCAAAGAGTGTCACATTCAGCAAACATTTTGTCCATAACTTTCAAAAAGCAAATAATTGCGGGGTACAACTGTGAGCAGCTGACACCTTCACTATGACTGCGTGGGAGGGGCAGAGACACAAACTACTGCAGGGGAATCTCATTGTGGGAGGGGCAGAGACACAAACTACTGCAGTGGAATCTCATCATTGTGGGAGGGGCAGAGACACAAACTACTGCAGGGGAATCTCATCATTGTGGGAGGGGCAGAGACACAAACTACTGGGGGGAAATCTCACCATTGTGGGAGGGGCAGAGACACAAACTACTGAGGGGAATATCATCATTGTGGGAGGGGCAGAGACACAATCATTTTGGTATCCTTACCCATGCCTGAGCCCTTCTCCATCATTTTAGTATCCTTACCCGTGCCTGAGCCCTTCTCCACCATTTTAGTATCCTTACCCATGCCTGAGCCCTTCTCCATCATTTTAGTGTCCTTACCCATGCCTGAGCCCTTCTCCATCATTTTAGTGTCCTTACCCATGCCTGAGCCCTTCTCCATCATTTTAGTATCCTTACCCGTGCCTGAGCCCTTCTCCATCATTTTAGTATCCTTACCCGTGCCTGAGCCCTTCTCCATCATTTTCGTATCCTTACCCGTGCCTGAGCCCTTCTGCTTCATTTGAGTTATCTGTGCGCATGCTCTTGATCTTCGCTATTGACTGCTGTGTAGGGGATAATGGGGCTTTATTGGAAAGAAGGACTAGAGGCAATTTCCCAGCACCAAGTAAGAGAATGTTGACAGTGTTTGTTTGAGTACAGAGCATCAGAGTAAATGAAGGAAATGTTTTTCAGCACACATGTGACTTTCTGTCTGGTAATTATATAGAAGAACTCTGCCAACTGAACCGCCTCTAGCTGATAATGGAGCATATTTCTGTATTGGCAAAGCAGCTGTAATACCTGAAGAACTCCGGGGGAAACCACAAACTAACCCTTGCACTGGGGCTACCCCTTCACTGCAAGGGTTAAGTGCTTTTTTTGTCTAGGGGGCTCATATATATCAGGTTTACTTACCTGATCCTCAATCCCATCTGGCTGCTAAACCGGTCCCAGCAACCTCTTCTCCCCTGGGCTGCTGATGTCATCCCGTCTTATGCAGGTCCACGGACTGGGGAGACAGTTCTTGCCCTATAACAAGAAGTGCCTGAACAAGGTTCTTCATGGCAGGATCACCAGGTGAAAATAAAGAGGGGGGGAAAGAAAGAAAAGAAATGCAGCCACCACATCTGAGGACAGGTTTAGATAGACTTTAGTAGATGTAAACCTAATCACTAAAACCTCATATAATCCAAAACATAGTAACGTCATTTGTTATTTTCAATCTCCTTATAAATCTGCAGGTTTCCTTTAAATTAATCCCTGGTGATCCTGCCGCAAAGGTCTTCTTTTTAGGCACGTCCTCTTTTAGGGTGACAACTATGTCCGAGCTGCACTCCTGCATTGTCACCCTGTCACATGCCATGCCGACACATGCTGCACAGGCACAGTCTGCCGTTGTGGGTATAAGGAAACCGATCCAGAGCAATGATGTTGATGTGCAGCAACGCTGGAGTGCATGCATGTAGACAGGAAGTGGCTAAGGAGGACTGGAAGAGATCAGCAGCATTGAGATGGGAAAAGGAGGAAATAAAGGGCAAAACAGGATTTTCGAAAAAAAAAATGTAATTTTTTTTCTGATCCGCTGAGGTAACTCAATGTTCGGTTTGTGATTAAATCGGTTTTAGAAGGTTTACTGTGAAGCTCTAGTGTGCTTCCTTTGGCTTTGGCTGACATGCGTCTTATTTTGCTGTAGGGGTAACTTCTGTAAAAAAATTAGTGCTGCAACTTGCTGTGACCCTTTCCATATCGATGTGCAGTTACTGTAGAATATAACGTGACCGGTGTAAAATGTCAATCTCACATCAAACGTTTTACTTTCAGACAAATGTGACAATAACAGCTCCCTGAAAAAAACCTTTCATGCCCTTTGTGTTTCCATGCAGGACCTCTGCTCTCCCACATACCTCTCTCTCCACGCCCATGGCGTCAGCATCCTCAGTGCCTGTTGGGTTCTATTATGAAACAAAGTATGTTGTGCTCAGCTACCTGGGGTTCTCCTCACAGGGGGGTACGAGGGAAGAGCCCCCCACAACTGCAGCAGGTAAGCAGATTGCACTATAAGCTGTGACTTATTAGGCTCTGTAGAACTGCCAGTCCCAGCATGCCCTGCAGAGTCCAATGCTGCATGTCAGACCGGGAGCTTCTACAGCATGCTGTCTGTATTTGTTCTTAATGTTGGTATAGATTGGCTTCAAACATATCGGTCAAATGCGTTGCAATGCACATACCGCTATGCATTGCCCTGCCATTCATTTTCAGCGGCACCCCAATACACTAAGTAAGCGCACACACCTGATGCACCACAACACACCCTACACACCACCCTGTGATAATGTGCACTGCGTCTGCACAAATGCTGCAGGATTGATTTAAGGTATGCTGTGATGCATAGGTGGCCTGTTCAAATGAATGGGTTGCCTTAACGCATCGTATCATAGCGCGCCTTTACCTCCACACACATGCTGTATGTCACATCAAACACAGGTGCAGGTTCAACATATAAAGTGGAGACCACACAACACAGTATGCCCGCTGTAAAACTCTCCGCAGCCTTCTATGGCCTGCTAGAGCTACTGCCGCATTTTGTGATTGAGCTCTATATGGGTAAAACGCATTAAAGGTACTTCACTGTGCGTTTATTACTTTTTTGGATATGTTCTATATAACGTATGTTATCGCACAGCAACAGGACAGCCGGGCAGAAGGAGCCATATACATGTTATCGGTGCACTTTGTATAGTAAGTATGGTACAGTGTGACTACGATGTATATATTTATTGGGTCTCACCCTCTCACAGCAAAACCCACTTGCCTTAGGCCCCTTTCACACGGGCTGATCAGGAGGAGATATGTGCACGGATCCCCTCCTGAGCGGAGCAGTATGGATCGGATGTCATCGATGTGACATCTCTGTCCATCCAGTTCTTTCCTCCATCTTGCAATAGAGGAAAGAACTAAAACTGCCGGACCCCATGTCGGTCTTTGGGGTATCGGATGTAAACGGACATGTTTCTGTTTTACCCCTGATCCGGCACAATCTGGTCTGAGGAAGTGGAACTCCGTTTGTTTTTCTGGACCTGGCTGGAGTCGGGGGTAACCGGGTGTAAACGATAACCCGTCCATCCATTTACACCCGGCTGCCCATAGACTATCATTTGCCATCCGATCAGGTCCAAGTAAAAAAACTGACAGGTGGACCCAATCGGACTGCCTGTGTGATATGTGATAAGTAACAGATTACACATTACAGGTAATATGTTTTTCGGCTTCCATGTACGCAGTTAATTAAGCCACCCAAGATGCCAGTCCTGGGTTATCACCAGCTAAGAGCTTGGAGGGAGGGGAATCTCGTGTGTGACACCAAAATGCTCCAAACTACCTCTGCACAGTGTCAGGATCTCAGTTCTAAAAAAAAAAACCACACAGTACTGATCCCGAGAACTTGCAGCGTCACCCCAATAGACCATATGAGCCCTGCCTGGATCCCGGCTCGCTTGCGTTTTTCACCAAGCCAATGGGCTTAGTTGTATTGAAATCTGCCAGGATTCGTTGTATATCTTTCAAGCGGCTTCTCTACACAGAACATTATAATTATCTGAAGACCCGAGGAAGAAGGATTTGGAATCCCCAAAAACCTGTTGGTTCCCTGCAGGGCAAAGAAAAGCTGACTTTTCCAAGCAGACTACTTACCCTTCTCGCCATTTGAGACCCATAATGAGGTAGCAGGAGAACGCCATGTAGTATGTGGGACGCTATTGGAGATAAGGATTTGCTGCACAGAACAATAAAACATTAGAATGGCTTTTAACACCAATCCTGGCCCATTCACTAGTTTTTAGTCTTGATTGAGACCTCCTGTGGCCCCACGCTGACGAGGCATTCCTGTTGGAACGTTGGGTTGTGTAAGCGTGCACAGTTGGCGCTCCGCCCAGCGTCCATGGCTGGATGTTTTTAGGTCTGCCCAGTAACTAACAAGAGTCTGTGTGCGCGGCGCGGCCGCGGCTTCTGCTTTCTCTCGTGTTTTCCGCTTGGCTTCTGATTCCGTCTGACAGGTTGTCGGGTGAAATCAGGCTCTAGCGCATAGCTGGAACCAAGCACAAGACCTGCTTAGTCTGTCACTGAGCTATCGCTGGCTTATCTAGCTTCTATGAAGAGTCACAAAATGGCCGATGTTGGGTCCCACGTGATTACATTACTACAACTGTAGCAGAGGAAACCTCAAATTTAAATATAAACTAACCATATTGGAGTAAATAGAACAATACTTGCTTACCTGCAACTGTATTTTGCATTGTGGTGCAATACTGGGCTGAAAAGGTATGGAATAGCATCAGTTTGGGGCTTACTAAACTCCCAAAATCCTGCTTGCAACACAAATGTGTGTGCTGTGGACCGTATCAGAGTACCGACAGATTACAGGAGTTAGAGTCACAGTATGTACAGGGAGCCTCTTTGTCAGGACATGCACAAAGCAAAAAGGTTTAATCCTTTCTTTTTCTCCAAGAAATAAAACAAGAAAGCTGATTGGTCAATTAATGAATTACTATCAGTCAGGTGTGACTGGTTGAAAATAATAGGTTTTAATATGGTCAGTCCTTCTGCAAGGCTGTGAGGGACAACCACAAATGGGAGAAACAGCAATGTGTATATAAAAATTTGCTGTAATTGTGTGGCTTGGGAATAAGGTTAAATAAGGTAAAAAAGCCAATTAAAATGGCTTGGACTTGGAGCTGACACTCTGCATAGGAAATGCGCTGGTTGTTTTTGAAAGTCTTACTGCTTTTAGATTGTATTTACTTGTTCCGCTTATATTTAATTCTCATTAACTGCTCACCTGTATCTTGTATTTATGATGCTTTAGTGCTTTTGCCTAGAACATCCTTCCTGTCTTGACTCATTGCACTGGTCTCCATTGCAGGCGTCGAGCAGCCGGCGCCCACCCTATCCCTGCCCAGAGATGTCCTGGACACAATTAAGGCGGAGATAGAGGAGGGGCTGAAAAGATTGGAGGAGGAGATATCTGCAGGTTTGTTGTCTTATGGTAATATATTGATTATCGGTTTATTTAGCGGTTTGTTTGAAGTCCAGCTTCGAAGCGCATCAGTAATGTGCTGCAGAGCCTAGAATTTGCTAGTTTTCTGGTTGTCACAGCTATCCCCTGGCTTCACCTCGTAGTGCGCCAATATAAAAAGGTTTTTTTTTTGTTTTTTTTTTGACCATATGCAGGTTATGTACAGTGTACCTGTTCAGGTCTGGTACTCCTGAAACCTAAGGATCCATTGACAGCCTCAAAAGACTTTTTCAGCTCATAATTCCGTCAAGAGTATTTCATTATTTGACCAGAATTCTATTTTGTTTAATTTTTTGTTTTTTACTTTATTTTTATTTTTGTACTTATTTCCAGCCTTCCCCAGCACCGGCTTTGACATGCACACATCGCCGGTGTTCAGTCCCGACAGCCCTGAGAGCGCCATTGAAGACTGCCTAGCTCAGCTTGCAGAGAGGATGTGTCTGGAGATCCCGGGGCAACTGGACCAAGCCTACCGGAACCTCCTTAGCGGGTGAGTTTATAACTGATCTGCTTGTGTCTTGTAAACTAAAAACTATCAAAAATATCAGTTTTGGGTAAATTATTATTATAATACAGGATTTATATAGCGCCAACAGTTTGCGCAGCACTTTACAATATAAGGAAGACATAACAATCACTAAAGGACAAGATGGTAAGGAGGGCCCTGCCCCTGAGGGCTTACAATCTAAAGGAGAGGGGCAAGTGATACATGAGGAGGTAGCTGTGTGGGGATGAATTGGCCCGTTTTTTGTTTTTTTTTCTGGGTCCAACCTTTCATCCCGGCATAGTTCCCAGGAGGTAAGTTGGAGGTCAGATTTGCCTTTGGTGTAATCAGCTTTGCGCCACCATTTCATGCCATCGACTCAGTTGGGCATTTAGGGAATGATGAGCCAGTAGGACAATCCAGTTCCAGCGGAGACCCCAGTCTTACCAGTCCTGTGACGTGTCCCCTTCCTCTACAGTGCAGGGCTGTAGCTAAGAACTTAAGACAGGGAGAAAATATATCCGGTGCCGGGTTATTGGCCAATTATATTTGACTGATGCTTCTAAAAGTTTACACAGGCAAAAGATGTTAAACTCAAACACTGTTTGGTTTTTACGTATGCTCACTTTTTGTCATCGGAAAAGGAAGTGAGGGGCAAACTACCTATAAATAAAACCTGATTCTCACTGTAATATGTTGCCACATTCCCACTGCCTGCGCTCCTTATCCTGCACCAAAAAAAAGGGAGAGGAAGTAAGGGAAAATTCTCCCAACGGGGTCACCAACAGGATTAAAAACCATAAAGATTTTTGTCACTATTCTCCACTCAACAAAAGCTAGTCAGACTTTAAAGCCCAACACCGGGCAAAATGAAAAAAATAAATAAAAATATGAAACAAAATCCCATCAGGTTCTTAAATATGGAGAGGATCTTAGCCTGCTACACGAACCTTCAAAATGGAACTGCCTCATGCAGTACTTCTTCTTCACCACATGATGTCCTCAGCTTCTTAGGCTGAATGATGCCTGGGAGACTATGGCCCCGTTCACATTGAGCGGTTCGCAAATTGTGCGATATCGCGCAAATGCTTGCATTGAGCAAGCTTGAATCGCGGCTAAATCCGCTCCAAAAAGGGTCCTGCTGTAGCGACACACGACCCGCGACAGCAGGACCCTTTGCCCCATTGAGAAGCATTGGAGAGCGATATCAATGTGAACGGGGTCTAAGGAAGGACTGTGAGTGCAGGGTGTCATGCACAGTGTATTGTACTCAGTGGGGAATCAAAACTGTAGCCGTTGCTCATGGTAACCAATCAGATTCTTATTTTCTGATTGGTCACTATGGGCAGCTGCTCCAGTTTTGTTAAATTCTCCCCACAGTGTGTCGGTGCAGAGTGTCATCACAGCAGTGCTGCTGTCTGCATTATGGAGGACTGCCCACTGCGGGAGAAGATTGAAAAAAGGTAAGTATATAAAAAGAAAAATAGTGTAACATAGATGCTGGGGGCGACTGGGGGATAGAAGGCTAAGTCCGGATTTTGGTTTCAAATGGTCAGGGGAACAGTGAGGTTGAACAGAGTGTATAAAATTGGCTCTCTTGGTTTGGGATTGATGTTGCTCTGTTCGATCACTTGCTGTCCATTTATAGCTTTCAGAGAAGTAGCTATCCTCTAACTAAACGAGATTTAGTTAGAGGATAGCGACTTGCAGCCAGAGAGTAGTCAAGATTAGATTGGTGATCTCTTTCCTTCATCTCTGCAGGAACCTGACATACGACTTGTTCAAAAAGGAAGCGGAAACCGCAGCTGTGCACACAAATGGATGGAACAAGGTAAGACACTGGGAAGCCTCCGGGTGTGTGTTATTCAAAATACGTGGTTGACAAGGCAATAAAATCCTGATTTTTCACCTTTCACATAAGCCGATTCTCTGCCCTTATGATGGTAACGTGTTCAGTTTACCTGGCCCCAGGTATGGGATGCTGTCAGGGGTGACGCATCTCTTCTGTGAGAATCCGCCTGGGCTTCAGGCAAGGGACTGGTACTGATAGACATTATTAATATCCTGATGTTATGATTTACGGGGAATCTGGTCTTTTTGTTTATGGCTGGCTCATATGGCAAACTCCAAATGAGCTGGGGGCAACTGGGCACGTTTTCTTCTTTCATGGAGACTGCATGAGGAGAGACAGCCAGGGGAGGGAGAATGAGGAGAGACAGCCAGGGGAGGGAGAGTGAGGAGAGACAGCCAGGGGAGGGAGAGTGAGGAGAGACAGCCGGGGAGAGTGAGGAGAGACAGCCGGGGAGAGTGAGGAGAGACAGCCGGGGGGAGAGAGAGTGAGGAGAGACGGCCAGGGGAGAGAGAGTGAGGAGAGACGGCCAGGGGAGAGAGAGTGAGGAGAGACGGCCAGGGGAGAGAGAGTGAGGAGAGACAGCCGGGGAGAGAGAGAGTTGAGAGAGTGGGGAGAGACGGGCAGGGGTGAGAGAGTGAGGAGAGACGGCCATGGGTGAGAGAGTGAGGAGAGACGGCCAGGGGTGAGAGAGTGAGGAGAGACGGCCAGGGAGAGAGAGAGTGAGAGACAGCCGGGGAGAGAGTGAGGAGAGACGGCTAGGGGAGGGAGAGAGTGAGGAGAGACAGCTAGGGGAGGGAGAGAGAGGAGAGACGGCCAGGGAGAGAGAGAGTGAGGAGAGACAGCCAGGGAGAGAGTGAGGAGAGACAGCCAGGGAGAGAGTGAGGAGAGACAGCCAGGGAGAGAGTGAGGAGAGACAGCCAGGGAGAGAGTGAGGAGAGACAGCCAGGGAGAGAGTGAGGAGAGACAGCCAGGGAGAGAGTGAGGAGAGACAGCCAGGGAGAGAGTGAGGAGAGACAGCCAGGGAGAGAGTGAGGAGAGACAGCCAGGGAGAGAGTGAGGAGAGACAGCCAGGGAGAGAGTGAGGAGAGACAGCCAGGGAGAGAGTGAGGAGAGACAGCCAGGGAGAGAGTGAGGAGAGACAGCCAGGGAGAGAGTGAGGAGAGACAGCCAGGGAGAGAGTGAGGAGAGACAGCCAGGGAGAGAGTGAGGAGAGACAGCCAGGGAGAGAGTGAGGAGAGACAGCCAGGGAGAGAGTGAGGAGAGACAGCCAGGGAGAGAGTGAGGAGAGACAGCCAGGGAGAGAGTGAGGAGAGACAGCCAGGGAGAGAGTGAGGAGAGACAGCCAGGGAGAGAGTGAGGAGAGACAGCCAGGGAGAGAGTGAGGAGAGACAGCCAGGGAGAGAGTGAGGAGAGACAGCCAGGGAGAGAGTGAGGAGAGACAGCCAGGGAGAGAGTGAGGAGAGACAGCCAGGGAGAGAGTGAGGAGAGACAGCCAGGGAGAGAGTGAGGAGAGACAGCCAGGGAGAGAGTGAGGAGAGACAGCCAGGGAGAGAGTGAGGAGAGACAGCCAGGGAGAGAGTGAGGAGAGACAGCCAGGGAGAGAGTGAGGAGAGACAGCCAGGGAGAGAGTGAGGAGAGACAGCCAGGGAGAGAGTGAGGAGAGACAGCCAGGGAGAGAGTGAGGAGAGACAGCCAGGGAGAGAGTGAGGAGAGACAGCCAGGGAGAGAGTGAGGAGAGACAGCCAGGGAGAGAGTGAGGAGAGACAGCCAGGGAGAGAGTGAGGAGAGACAGCCAGGGAGAGAGTGAGGAGAGACAGCCAGGGAGAGAGTGAGGAGAGACAGCCAGGGAGAGAGTGAGGAGAGACAGCCAGGGAGAGAGTGAGGAGAGACAGCCAGGGAGAGAGTGAGGAGAGACAGCCAGGGAGAGAGTGAGGAGAGACAGCCAGGGAGAGAGTGAGGAGAGACAGCCAGGGAGAGAGTGAGGAGAGACAGCCAGGGAGAGAGTGAGGAGAGACAGCCAGGGAGAGAGTGAGGAGAGACAGCCAGGGAGAGAGTGAGGAGAGACAGCCAGGGAGAGAGTGAGGAGAGACAGCCAGGGAGAGAGTGAGGAGAGACAGCCAGGGAGAGAGTGAGGAGAGACAGCCAGGGAGAGAGTGAGGAGAGACAGCCAGGGAGAGAGTGAGGAGAGACAGCCAGGGAGAGAGTGAGGAGAGACAGCCAGGGAGAGAGTGAGGAGAGACAGCCAGGGAGAGAGTGAGGAGAGACAGCCAGGGAGAGAGTGAGGAGAGACAGCCAGGGAGAGAGTGAGGAGAGACAGCCAGGGAGAGAGTGAGGAGAGACAGCCAGGGAGAGAGTGAGGAGAGACAGCCAGGGAGAGAGTGAGGAGAGACAGCCAGGGAGAGAGTGAGGAGAGACAGCCAGGGAGAGAGTGAGGAGAGACAGCCAGGGAGAGAGTGAGGAGAGACAGCCAGGGAGAGAGTGAGGAGAGACAGCCAGGGAGAGAGTGAGGAGAGACAGCCAGGGAGAGAGTGAGGAGAGACAGCTAGGGGAGGGAGAGAGAGGAGAGACGGCCAGGGAGAGAGAGAGTGAGGAGAGACGGCGAGAGGAGAGGAGAGATGGCAAACAAACAACACATCTGCCTGAAGCAGAACACCTGTGCCCTCCGAGTCTTATCTGCACCCTGTGTTTCAGACACCTGTTTGCTCCCCGAGTTCCAGTGTCCCTCCGTGTCCATGCCTCCTCCACACACTCAAGTTGGAACACCAGGACCTCGTGGTTGCCCCTGTTCACCTCACATTGTGACATCTTGCGTTTGTTTACAGAGCGTCATCCTGGCGCTCTGTAAATAAACAAGGAGCGTCACCACAGGACCAAGGGTGCCTGGCACCTGTAGTAGAAGCTGGGAAACACTGTGACACAGGCTGCGTTTGGGCCTGTGATGACGCTCCTCGTGCCATTGTCGTGCCTCCTACGGTCCCCTTGGGGAGGTAGTCGGTATCCGGGTGGTCTGCAGTCTTGTTTTCTTCCATCTGTTCCCATGCTGGTTTATGGTACTACAGAGTGCTGTTATATTTACCTGAGGAAGCTGTCATCAGCGAAACGATCACTGTGATGTTGACATACATTTCAGGAGTGTGGCAATTGGACCTTCCTCTGCTGACCACGTTTTATGTATTTACTACAAACCAATGTAACTGCAATATTGCTGATTGCCTGTGCAATTATGACAGACAACAGTAGTCATTGTTTGTTGTTTTTTTTTTGGCTGCAGCATTTTATTGTAGTGCAGCCGAAAGCTCCACCTTCTGGGTACATAGAAAAGTCTAACAGGATTATTCACTAAGGGCCCTGTCACACCACCAGGAGTGCGTTCCAGTGCGTTCGACCTCTGGAACGCAACCCGGCCGGCTCAGTTTTTTGGGGGCAGGAGGGGGTGTGGCTGTGCATTGAGCTCAAGGGCATCGCAGCCACGCCCCCTGCCTGCGGTGTGCTTGCCGGCACCCAAACGCATGGCACATTAGTGCCTGCATTCCGGTCCAGTGCAGTCTGCAAAAAATGCTACAAACACAATTTTTTGCAGCTCGCACTGGACCGGATTGCAGGCAATAATGTGCCATGCTCTTGGGTGCCGGCGATCGCACCGCCATGGCGTTAAATGCACCGCCACGCCATCTCCCGCCCCCCAAAAAACGGACCCAGCCGGGTTGCGTTCCACAGACCGAACGCACTCTTGATGGTGTGACTGGGCCCTAAAGGGTGAAGAGTTTGGGGAAGACAGGAGAAGTGAATAATCTAGGACAACATTGCTGATTTGGAAAGTGAGCTGAATTGGAGAATCTTTCCAGATCAGCCATGTTGTCCTAGATTGTTCACTTCTCCTGCCTTCTCCAAACTCTTCACCCTTATGTGAATAACCCTGTAAAGTTTTCCAGTGCCGTATTTTATATTTACCTTATGAAAAAAAATGGCAAAAAGGTATGTTTAGAATTTTCTAAGGTTCTAACAACAATGAAAAGCTGTAAAGCTCCCCCTGCTGGTTGGAGATAAGAATAAAAAATGTTCAATGTACTTGACACAATAGAAGAAACAATAGATGTTAAAGTTTTTTTATTTTTTTAGTCCTATATAAATTTAAAAAAAACTTTTTCGCTTGGCCTTCGTGTTTATTCTCTGTAAGGTTCATATGCGCACAGTTGTGCTTCTCATGAGCAGTCGGCCATCTTTCTGGCCAGAGATTGGAGTAGAAAAGAGCCGGGTGGGGGGCCAGTAATTGGTACGTCTTCCTGTAAGCAATGTAATTGCCTGGCGGTCATCTGGTGTGTCCCTGGCGCTCTGCCTATCTATAATACACGGTTTAATTACTCAGCGGGCCAGATGGATGTGAGCTTACAGGAATTCTTTCATATCCTTTTTTTTGGGAAGGACTAATTGTCTCTATTTCCTGCCTTCCCTTTGTTTTGACGTGAAATGTAATTTGCTGTGGGGGGTGTGGGCGATTTTTGGAAGTATAACCAAATGTTACCTGTCCTCATATCGCAGGTCCTGGTACCGCTGGTCCTATTACAGCGCCTCCTGCTGGACCTCACAAGGCGTGGGAATCATCAGCTAGACAATCTTGTACATCTCGGAGTCTCATACATCGAGGAAGTGTATTCTAATTATGTCATCGAGCAGGGAGGATGGGTAAGTCAATTCTGTCCAGCCGCTCTTGTGATTCACACAGTATTCTCATGCCACATTGCCAGCAGGGCAGCCACACTGTTGTAGCAGTGCAGCTTCCTGTATCAACTTCTCACCTCCATCCTGTTTACTGAACTATGAATGAAAATCAACACACTCCTGAGATTCATAGATAAATGTGCTCAGAGCACTAAGCATGTGCAGTGGTCACTACATGCGGATCATGTTCACATATTTCCCATATCCAATCATCTCAGTCATTGCATCATATCAGCAATACAACTTCCCCCAATTAAAACTTCAAGTTTAATTGGGGGAAATGGGACAAAGCAGGGGAGACTTGTAACTCTGTGCTATGGATCATTTAAGCCATTCATGTTATCAGGGCAGAATTGTAACTCTGATACTGCAGTGTACTGGAAGTGTGTGCTGTATGTACTATGGATCATTTATCCTAGTACACACTTCCAGTAGACTGCAGTATCAGAGTTACAATTCTGCCCTGTTAACATGAATGGGTTAAATGATCCATAGCACAACTACATAATATGTACTATGGATCATTTAACCTATGCATGTTAGCAGGGGAGAATTGTAAATCTATTACTGCAGTGTACTGGAAGTGTGTACTGTAAATGTAGTACATGAAGTACACACTTCCAGTATACTGCAGCAATAGATTTACAATTCTGCCCTGTTTCTTTAAATCTGTCCCACTTCCCCCCCAATTAAACTGGCTGGTGACCCCACCTGAGCACAGGCCCTATCCCTTCTGCCACCCACAGCCAGCCCTGTCACAGCTTCCCTTACTCGCATGGCATGACTGTCCGATCCCTAGCGCCTCACGTTTCCCTCTGGTAGTCGGCGCTGAGCGGGAGCTTGTCAATGTAGCAGTGACTTGTGGCTCTGGCATCAGGTTGGAGGCGCTCCAGGTGGGGTTCTCATTTAGCTGCCCTGCAGACTGCCCCGATGACCCCACAATACCATAGCGCAAGCATCGGCGCTATGTATCGGGGCATTTGTACAAGAACTTGTCAAAATGCCCAGTATCGGAACATCCCTAAAATATATATATATATATATATATATGTATATATGTATGTGTGTGTGTGTGTGTGATTCGACAAAGATTGGGCATCTCCACACTGATAAACGTATGAATCTGTTCCTTCGACTTGTCAGCGCGCTTCCTGTCTTAGATTGACAGCACTGTGCTCTTTCTTCTCAGGGATCATGGGCAGCTAATATAAAGACAGATTCAGCTACTTGTAATATTGGTTTAGGAATCCTTTCAGCAATACAGAACTGCCTGAGCAGGTTACAAACTTCATACAAAACAAGTTCCTATATGATCATGCAGGAGGCTACGGGGGGAGGGGGCTGCTTACATGGGCATCCTGCCTGGTGATCCCCTTTAAGGGAGTTCGGTGACCCTGTATAGATTTGCCATATCTACACTTATCCAGAAGCAGGAGAGGGAGCAGCTCTATAAATGTCATCCCCAAGAAATGTTATGACAGTTCCATAAATTGTCATTTAATTTGATTGTTTTTTGTTTTGAGCTACGGCTGTGAATTCGCTGGCAGATCATCCTCCGTCTCCCCCACAGATTAGAGGGCAGGATTACAGGAGTCCCCATCCATCTGCTTTCAGTGCAGGGAAGGTAATCCTTCAGGAAATGGAGAGTTTAAGCGCGTTTCATTTCCCCCAGCTTGTCCTCTTTCCGCGCAGATGTCGCGAGGTGCCCTGTGCCCTCCGGCCTCATCTCTGTCCTGGTGACATTGTTTAAAGGGCAGTTCACAATTACCAGTCGCTGGGCATCGATTTCTCAATCAGACAGAAACGTATTCTATATTTCTGTAGTATTCAGATTGGGGCTTATAGCAGAACTCTGGCACATTTCTAAATTTAATGGTAAAATATTTGTAGATGAATTTGTCCACTTATCAGCCCCACCAGTATTAGCTATGTGCATAGCGGCGGCCATAATTGCTATTTGCCGCACAGTGACTGTGCCTTGCTAACCTCTTATCCTGTAAGACAGGTTAAATAAATTCACTTTCTGCAATCTCCAATGAGGTAAAACAGCCACAGTGCTCCAGTGTTAACCAGGGCCTTGTCCTTTATGTGACGATCATGTTTCTGACTGGCCTGTCCATTGCAGCTGTCTGTCTGGTCAGGAGCTGCCCGTAAACCTGACCTGCCGGCAGTGACCGGCTTCCATATTTTCTTCCTGGGTGATGGACAGTTGTAGTTTTCTCGAAGGTGCTCATAGAAGGCAGCAATCTCCATCCATTGCATTAGCCTCGTGTGACTTTCTGACATGGAGGTTGGGGGGAATTATTGTCCTTTCTGTGCAGGAAAATCCCTCTCGTCCATTTCTGGGCAATCCACGCTCTGGCTGGGCAGAAGAGATGACAATCTAACAGGAGGTTGCTGGTATATTAATAGACTGGGGAACCAGGAGGATTTCGCTTTACAACTCTCCTCTCAGAGGCGACACAGGGGGTCTCTAATCACCCCCAGTCTTCAGCATTCGTTTTATTTCTGTCTATAGGAGAAAGTTGTCGATGCATTATAACTGAAGAAAATGTGTAAATAAAATGATATCACACCAAAGCTGCTGCTTTCTGTATGTGGGAATAGCAGGGCTCAGACTTCATACCATGTCCTTCAGTTGTATGTCACCCCCCCCCCATATTACAGAACGTATGCCAGGGATGTTACATGATGGGCCTTTCACAACACATTGATCGGGACCTTGTATAGTCTCTGGCCTCCGTCTCCCCTCTTATCCTCTCCTTCCTTTTTTTTCTTAGCCTTTTTTTCAATTTCTTTTTTTAGCTATGTTTTGGCTTCAGTTTGCTATTTGCCCTGCAGCCGAGTCGGAGCCTAAACAAAACTGGGTCGCTGTGCGCGCCCCCCTGCTTGCTGCGCGCCTCGTGCACGCGCCTCCCATCCCCTGCACTCTGCTATTCCTGAGTCCGGAGCAGATGTGACGATCTCCTCATCACTGGAAACTACGAGATTGCAGCTGTCTCACTGGGTAAGGGGTCTCTCTCATTCTATGGAATGTACAGCTGGTGAGGAGGGGGAGTCCGGGGGTCTGTGCTGGAAGCGTCCTTGTCACCTGCCACATTTAACCCTTTATCTCTATGTAATGACATGGTTGTTTCCTAACTTGTATTAGGTGGCTTGGGGGCTTTATATCCCAATAGAGATCTTTCGGTTCAAAAAGCCAACTTAATGGTCTTACGGAACTTCTAGCAATAGCTGGTGGCTGTCATTGCTTGCTGGGGCTTGTAGTTCAGCAGCAGAAAAGGTGGTATACGTCATTATTGGCACATTTATACTCTGCGGTTTGATATTTAATTGAAAAAAAAAAATGTTTCTGTAACGTGCAGTGACACAAAAAAGACAAAATCGTTGTAAATGCCTAGTTACAGCACAAATAGAGTGTAAGCTTTTTGATCAAGGCGTTGCAATATTTCTCTGAGTATTAGTGTGTGTGTGTGTGTGTGTGTGTGTCTGTGTGTGG